ACTATGGGCGTTCCTGGAGAAGATGAAGAAGCAGTATATCTACGGTTATTTCCTTTTTCTTTGACAGGTAAGGCCAAGATATGGCTGCAGGCTCACCCAAATCAGAGTTTGACCAGATAGGAGGATGTAGAGCAGAAGTTTCTGGCTAGATTCTTTCCTCCTTCCAGATATATAAGCGCCAAATCAGCTATTGCAACTTTCTCTCAAGGTGCTGATGAACCTTTGTGTGAAGCTTGGGAGAGATATAAATCCTTACTAAGAAAATGCCCAAATCATGGGTTTGATGATGTTGCACAACTCAACGTGTTCTATAATGGGTTAAGGCCACAAACAAAGATGTTATTGGATGCTTCCGCAGGTGGTTCTATGATGATGAAAGATTCTGAGGAAGCAATCACTATCATTGATGCTTTGGCAGCCAGTGATTACCAAGCTCACCATGATAGAAGCCAGCCCACAAAAAGGGGAATTCTGGAACTGGATGCTCAAAATGCAATTCTAGCTCAGAATAAGCTTCTTTTCAGCAGATGGAAGAGTTAAACAAACAGATGTCTAAGCTTCAAGTAGGATCATCTTCACGCCCTCAACAGGTAATGAAATGTGATTTTTGTGCAGGTGATCATCCAAATGAACATTGCACCATCTCTGAACCAGATTAGGAGGAGGAAGTGAATTACATGAACAATCCAGGAAGGCAAGGGAATTTCTCTGGAAATTATAATCAGATTCAAGGCTGGCAGAATAATCAAAATCAGTATTCTAGGTGGAAGCAAGCAGGGCCATCACAAAGGCAACCTCCACAGAAGCCATATGAAAATCAATCTTCTTATCAGCTAGACAGGTTATCAAAAATGGAGGAAGCCTTTATACAGTTTATGCAGGTTTCCACAACTAATCAGAAAAATACTAAAGCCTCTATCAGAAATCTGGAAGTACAAATAGGGCAGTTGGCTAGGAAATTAGCAGAGCAGCAAAGCAATAATTTTTCAGCCAATACATAGGTCAATCCTAAAGAATATTGTCAATCAATTACAACCAGGAGAGGCACTGTGATAGGAAATGAGATAGGTGATAATTTGAGAGAAAATAAAGATGGAGTGGATAAAGATAAGAGTGAATTTGAGCCTAAAAGTGAGAAAGAGGTGGAGTTGAATAAAGAGGCAGGAAAAACAGAAAATAATAAAAAAGAGAGTAAAAATAATGAAAGGAAAAATGGAGTTGTGAGGGAGGAGAGTAAGAAAAAAGGGAAAGAAGTTGCTAGGCCTCCTTCTGTGAAGAATTTACCTTATCCACATGCTCCATCAAAGAAAGACAAGGAACGCCAATTTGCAAGGTTCCTTGATATAATCAAGAGGTTGCAGATCAACATACCCTTTGCAGAGGCCTTAGAACAGATGCCATCTTATGCAAGATTCATTAAGGAGATTCTGACAAAGAAGAGAAAAGTGAGTAAGGATGGAACAGTGGAGTTAGAGGCAGGTTGCAGTGTGATCGGAGCCGTATCCGGTCAAATAAATACAATTAAACGTAGTACTAGGAAGTGACTCCTGGGTCCTCTCCTAAGGCCCGTCGTTTACTGTTAAAGGCTTAAACACACAGTAGGGTGTTTTGCTTTCAGGTTTTCAGGTCGTAACACAATAAAACGAAATAAAACAGCAAGTAAAAA